GTGAAAGACTAAATTATTTTTCTCCTGTAATCAAAAACAAGCAAGGAAGTCCATTCTCACCACTTTTTTTTTTTTTTTTTTTTCGAGACAGAGTCTCGCTCTGTCACCCAGGCTGGAGGGCAATGGCGTGGTCTCAGCTCACTGCCAGCTCTGCCTCCTGGGTTCATACCATTCTCCTGGTTCAGCCTCCCGAGAAGCTGGGACTACAGGTGCCCGCCACCGCATCTGGCTAATTTTTTGCATTTTTAGTAGAGACAGTGTTTCACCATGTTAGCCAGGATGGTCTCGATCTCTTGACCTCGTGATCCACCCGCCTCAGCCTCCTAAAGTGCTGGGATTACAGGTGTGAGCCAACGTGCCCGGCCTCACCACTTCTATTCAGCATTGTACAGGAGATTCTAATCAGGGCAATTAGGAAATGGGTGGAGGGAGCAGGGACAAAATATATCCAGATTGGAAAAAAGAAGTAAAACTATTTCTATTCACAGATGACATGATCTCACAAATAGAAAATCCTAAGCAATCCATTAAAAATTATTAGAGCTAATAAATGAGTTCAGAAAAGTTGTGGGATACAAGATCAATATAGAAAAATCAATTATATTTCTATATACTAGCAATGAGCAATCCAAAAATAAAATCAAGACAACTATATTTTCAATAGCATCAAAAAAATAAAAATAATTATAAATAAATTTAACAAAATATGTACAAGATGTGTACACCAAAAACTATAAAACATTGTTGAAAAAATAAAAGGTCTACATAAATAGAAAGATATGCCACAGTCATAGAAGACTTACTATTGCCAAGATGGCAATTCTTCCAAAATTAGTCTGTAGATTCAACTCAATCCCTACCAAAATCCCAGCTTGCTTTCTTATAGACATGGACAAGCTAGTCATGAAGTTCATATGGAAATGCAAAGCACCCAGAATTGTCAAAACAATTTTGAAAAAAAAGTACAAAGTCAGACGATGCATACCCCCAATTTCAAAACTTACTATATAAGCAGAGCAATCAAGATAGGGTGATATTACATAAGAACAGACATATAGATCAATGGAATCGAATTGATGTCCGGGAATAAACTCTTACATTTGTGGTCAATTGACTTTTGATAAGGTGTCAGGATAATCCAGTAAGGAAACAGTCTGTTCAACACATGGTGCTGGGACAACTGAATACCCACATGCAGAAAAATACATTTGAATCCCCTCCTTCAATCACACCCAAACATGAACTCAAAATGGATCACAGGCCTAACTGCAAGTGTTAAAACTATAAAATTCTTAGAGGAAAAATTAGAAATCTCTTAATGACATTGGATTAGGCAACGGTTTCTTAGATATAGCACAAAAGCATAAGTGACAAAATTAGATAAATTGAACTATTTCAAAATTTAAAACTTGTGCTTCAAATAATATCATCAATAAAGTGAAAAGACAATCTATAGAATTAAAGAAACTATTTCTACATCATATTATTTGATAAGATTGGTATTCCAAATATATAAAGAACTTCATATATCCCAAATATATAAAGAACTTCATATATTCCAAATATATAAATAACTCTTATATAACCTGATAATCAAAAGCCAATTAACCCAATATTTTTAAGAGGCAAAGGATTTGAATAAATATTTTTCCAAAGACGACATGCAAATGACCAAAAAACCCATGAAAAGACGTTCACATCATTAGTCATCAGGGAAATGCAAGTTAAAACTACAGTGAAATACCACGTCACACCACTGGGATGGATAAAATTTAAAAAACAGATGATAAGCATTGGTGAGGATGTGGAGATGCTGGAAACCTCATAAATAGCTGGTTGGAATGTAAAATAATATAGCCACTTTGGAAAAATAGCATGGCAGTTCTTTAAAATGTTAAACATAGAGTTACCATATGACCCAGCAATTCTACTCCTAGGTATATACTCAAGAGAAAAAAAAAAAGCTGGTACACAAACATCCACTGCAGCATTATTCATAGTAGCCCAAAGATGGAGACCACCCAAATGTCCATCAACTGCACTGATAAATAAAATGAATCAAATCCAAAATACGGAATATTATTTGGCAATAAAAAAGAATGAGGTACTGATATATGCTACAACATGAATGAAAGCTTAAAAAAATATTGCTAAGTGAAAGAAGCTGAGGACCGCATATTCTACAATACCATTTACAAGAAAGTCCAGAATAGGCAAATCTATAGAGACAGAAAGTAGATTAGTTGTTACCCACGGCTTGGCAACTATTGGGTACAGGGTTTCTTTCTGGGATAATAAAAATGTTTTCAACATAAATTGTGTAGATAATTGCACAAATCTGTGAATATGCTAAAAACCATTGAATTGTACACTTTAAATGGGTGAATTTTAGTGTATAAAATTAAATCTCAATAAAAATGCTTAAAAACTAAATGGACTTGGTATCTTTAAAATTTAAAAAAAAAAAAAAAAAGCAAATAGGTCTTGGGGATCAGGCAGAGCTGGGTTTGATTACCAGCTTCCACACAACTAGCTATGTGGTCTTAAGCAAATTCCTGCACAACTCTGGGCATCAGTAAATGGTAGCTTTTTACCATTCAGCAGGAAGGAAAGTTAGGAGAGGTGGGGATATGCAGCATCAGGGTTACAGTGAAGGCAGAACCAAGGTGATCTTCTGGGGTGAAACAAGCACATCCAAGACCATCAGCTAGAATTTGATTCTGTAGTCCCTGTCTATTCCTCAGAAGAAGGTGCCTTTCCTAAATAGTCCACATGCAATGGTGCCCCTGCAGCAATGCTATGCAGTGGGTATTGACTACAACTCTTCCTGCAGACAAGAGCAGCGTCCATCTGTATCTCCCACCTATGGCTGGATTTGGCAAGAACAGGATCATTTGTAATGTTGAAGAAACGGAGGGAACACAAGAAGGATCCTGACAATCAAATTCCAGGCCATTTTTATCTTACACGGCTCATCGGAGAAGGTCATCTCCCCCCACTGCCCATAAAGCATTAGCTGCTTTGAGCTTTGCGTTCTCAACAGTGTAATGAAAATAGATGTTGAATGCTAAAACATAAACATATGCATCATTCATAACGCATTCAGATGTTTTTTAATTATTCATGGTTCCTGAAAGTTATTTGACCAATCATGCATATATACCCAAGCAATGTTTATATTAGAACCACAGCCTCAGTGTACGCAATTCCAGCTCCTTGGCATTCCCGTCTATGGAATTAAAATTAAATGAGTCAGTGGTCAATAAAAGTTACATGTGATTTCCATAAAATTATCCATTGTATACTGCTATGGGGTAGAGAAAGAAGTTTGCATGGCGTTGCTGAAGCTGACAGAACACAGAATGCTTGCTTTCTGATGAGGGTGGCAGTGATGACGAGTCTTTCCTAAGAATGAATTCATTATTTCCCTGAATAATTGGTGGTCTTGGACTTGGTCGTCGTCTAGGAAAAAAAATAACTCAGAGGGCCACCCTCTCTGTTCTGTTTAAGCTCTGTTTTCTTAAAAGAAAAAAAAAAGTGCCAGTATTTTGGGCTCGAAAACACCACATTCTTCTGTTTTGATGCTTGCATAAATTTGCATGTTAACATGAATGGTTCCAACTTAAAGAACGTGAAATGAAATGAAATTTGAATTCAAATCCAAGATGGAGAAAAGACACATCTAAAAGCAACAGATTTTCAATCTAGTGGATTTTTTTTTCAAGAACCAGATTAAGAAAGTCATAAACTCTTTCTCTCTCTCTCCCTGCCCCCCTCAACCACTGCTTTCAAAGACGGGTGGCACACAGAGACAGGTATCCCAAAGAGCATCCCCATGTCCCCTCAGCATACATACTCAGTATTTTTACGAACCACAGCACACATTCCGAAGCTCTGTTTTAATGACTACATGCCACCATGAAACTCAGAGACATGACTCAGAGGACACGGTCAAAATCACATATCCACTTTTGGAGGCCCACCGAGATAAAATGAAATGTAAGGAACATTGTGTGAGTAGCTTGAGCAAATATAGGCATGAATTTGCCTCTGCAGGCCCTAAGAGCCATTTCTTGCTTCATCCTTTGATTTTTCCCATTGCAGTTGAAGGCTGTATGTCATAGTGGTTAGGTGCACAGACTAATAGACCTGCCTTGGAATCCCAGATCCACCAATGATTTACTGGCTGTGTGACCTCTGGCAAATGACTTAATCTGTGGACATAACTTTTTTCATGAGTCTTCATTTACATAGCAATAGTACCAGCCTCGCAGACTTATTGTGAGATAATGCAGCACATTTAGAACAGTGTCTAACATAGAGCAAGCATTCCATAAGGATTAGGCGTGGTGGCGGTTGCTATGGTGGGGTATTAAATGTTACTATTTTTTTTTTTTTTTTAATTCTTTTGAGACGGAGTCTTGCTCAGTTGCCCAGGCTGGAGTGCAGTGGCCGGATCTCAGCTCACTGCAAGCTCCGCCTCCCAGGTTCCCGCCATTCTCCTGCCTCAGCCTCCCGAGTAGCTGGGACTACAGGCGCCCACCACCTCGCCCAGCTAGTTTTTTGTATAATTTTTTAGTAGAGACGGGGTTTCACCGTGTTAGCCAGGATGGTCTCGATCTCCTGACCTCTTGATCCGCCCGTCTCGGCCTCCCAAAGTGCTGGGATTACAGGCTTGAGCCACCGCGCGCGGCCAAATGTTACTATTATTCAAACTTTAGATGATGGTAGGAACCAGGCCTGAACTGCTTCTCCTCCAACCTGCCCTCCCATTTTGACCAGACAGCACCACCCGGGAAAGAGCGGTCAAGTCATCGTGAAAGCCCATTGCCAACGATCTCTGGCTGCAGGACAATGTGAGATGTCATGTTCTCATCCCATCCTGCCCCACATCAACCCTTTCTCAGGCCCAGTCTCCCTTCACTAAGGTGTGCCAAACAAAATGACAACAGGATCTCAACAAGTAAAGGGGACCGTGAGCAACGAGGGCAGCCTCGTACCTCGTGGCCAGACTCCGTAGTGTTTGTTTCCAATTTCTGGACAGCCGACTTGTTGCTCTCCTTTAGCATTTTCTCTCGAACTTTGGTTTCATACTCAGGCCTGGAATGTTCCTAAACCAAAGAGCAGAGAGTGGTTAGTAAATGAAAGGAAGAATGGCCTTGGCCTGTGGGTTATAACCAGACACATGTACATTAACATCAGCGTTTAGGATTGGACGCTATTGGATATGAACTGCCACACCAAACACAATCACAAGGCATCTAGACGTCACAACCTAACATAAGAACACAACGTGAGGAAGAGACAAGGGACACACAATACTCGTTGTCACACTGAAAACCAAACCTGGGCACGTTCCTGGGGATAGCGCCGGTGTTGAGAAAAGAGAGAGGAAATGTTAACTAGATGGTTGAGATGAAGAGAGGCCCAGTACTTTGCAGAGCCGTTTCACCAGAGGCAGAGGGATATCCCTGGTCATCCCACCAACTATTGTCAGACCTCAAACTTCTAACTTTCAACAAGCCAGCTCCCAGCTGGAGAAACAGATGTGCCCCACAGCTGGGAGTGAGGGCAACAACAAAACTCCTTCCCTGCTCCATTATTCTCTGCGCTAAAATGGCGACCAATAAACATCAAAGTCAAGGGTGGCCATAGGGAATCTTAAAATTCACTTGCCTGGACCTGTTTCCTGTACAGCCTCGGTGAGTAACTCATTGGCAAGTACAGCAATGCTCAAGAGACCTCACTGGGCCATTCAGCAACACAAACCTGAATCGTGAGTCACCAGGCATGGGAAAGAGCACCTAACTAATCCAGAGGACCATGGTCAAATCAGTGCAGATGCTGGGGCAGGAAGATGCATGACTCACTTCAAAGAAAATTTAACTGTGTACACCTGGCCTCATTGGCGGGTCTTCCTTACGGTTTCCAGCTCAAGAACAAACATCTACAGGTGTGAGGACTTCATGTTCCTGCATCATTTATCGATAACTCCTGGGCAGGGATTCAGGTACTGGTTCACAATGGGCTCTGCTATTCAGGGAACACACATGTCCTTATCCCTGTCCATATGTCAGAGATTCCAAAGGTCAACAGGCCAGGCTCTTGACCTCTCTCTGGCTTTCCCAAGACATGCCACGATACAGGAGAGGACAGACCATGTAAGTGACTAACAAGCATAACTAAAACAACAGCAGGTGGTGCCACTCCATCCTCACCCATTCTCCAAGGGGACGTCAGTCCCACCCCTTCCAGGAGGCCTTCTCCAACTGTTGCAACATACCTACCAGGTGGGGTCTCCTCCCTCTCTGAATTCCTAGACTTTTATAGCTTATACCACACATTGCAGCTCTTCATTACGTATTTTTCTTTTATTGTTTCCTAGCTGTTTTGCATGTGAGAGGCTTCTTATCCTAACATAAAGATCAGCTACCTGCTCTGTATTATTCTGTGTTTTGCACAGTACTTGGCACCATGCAGAACACACAGAAATCTCTAAATGCTTGTAAAGTGCACTTGATTTTGTCTCTCACCTTTATCCGTTCTCCAACACAGCATTTCCTAATGTGTGTGCCAAGAGAATTTCAGCTAAAAAAGGACTCTAAGGTCTAAAACACTGGAAAACACTATAATGTATCGACTTTCTGAGAGTCACAATGAGCATATTAAAAACTCTGAAAAGTGCTACTGTCAAGACACTTGCTTAATTTTCCTAAGCCCATCATTTCCCACAGAGCAACTTTTGCCTGTAACAATTAATAACCTGCAGAAATACTTTGAGAACTATGGTTTGAGGTTGTCCCCCGTGGCCTCTGAAATTTGGTTGCTTTACTTCTACACTATTCCAATGGGAGATTTTAATTAAAAACTGTAGCAGTATATTTCAGTGAGTTCCAGAAGAACATGGGTTCTAAATTTCTTCAAGCCAGAGGAGCCTCTCCCCTTTCACACCCCGCACAGGGGCTAAGGGAGGCACCCCCAGCTGACCGGTAGGATGTTTCTGACTATCTCTGGCTTTCCAGAGCATGATGTGGCAGCACACAGAGGAGTTTGCTTGAATCCCTCTAGGTGTGGCTGTGGCTCACCTCCCCCTACACTGGGCCTCAGTTCAGAGCTGCCTCATTTTTTTTTTTTTTTTTTTTTTTGAGACAAGAGTCTCCCTGTGCCACCCAGGCTGGACTGCTGTGGCATGATCTTGGCTCACTGCAACCTCCACCTTCTGGGCTCAAGCGATTCTCCTGCCTCAGCCTCTGGAGTAGCTGGGACTGCAGGCACATGCCACCAGGCCCAGCTGATTTTTTTGTGTTTTTAGTAGAGACACGGTTTCATCATGTTGATCAGGCTGGTCTTGAACTCCTAACCTCAGGTGATCCGCCCACCTCGGCCTCCCAAAGTGCTGGGATTACAGGCATGAGGCACTCCACCTGACCATAATTCTCATCTTTTTAAAGCAAGCCTAGTTTCCTAAGCACTCAGACAGGAATCGGAAACTCAAGGAAGAGACAGGCTGCGCTGCACTCAGCTGAAGCAGGCCTGACAAGGACCTCCCTGTTTGCAGCTAAGCAAGTAGGGTGAGGTTATAGAATCCCTCAAAAGCGGACAACTGAGCTCCTGGCCAGAGCAGAATCCAGCCCCTGGGAGGGCTGCTTTGACACACCCAGCCATGGACAGATCAGCCTTATTCCTGATGTTCCCTACACACAACAGCACTGGATGGGTAATCTGATGCCAAGTCATCACAGATCATCACCCCTCCCACCGAGACTCTGGGAACTATTTCCATTTGGTCAGTCTCCCCGGGAGCCAGCTGGGAGGAAGAACCCAAGCCTGCTCAGGACCACACTTGTCTTATCTAAAGAGGCAAGTCCAGAGATACATCCAACAAATGTCTTCAACCAAGAGTCATCAAGCACCCGCTATACTCTGAGCTGTTTCCAGGCACTGAGGCTATCCTGCCAGTCCTAGACACAAGATCCCTCCTTCCCTGGAGCTCACCTCCAAGTAGAGGCAAGTTACAGTGAGTAAACCAGCACAGGAACGAGAAACTAGCAGATGAGGACAAGAACAGCAGAGGAAATAAAGCAGGATGGCTGCTTCAGACTGGGGAGCTGCGGGAGGCTAATCTGAAGATGGCAATGTTTTCACTGAGACACAAAAGCCGAGAAAAGACAAGCCTTGCAGAGTCTGGGGGAAAAGCATCTGTGCAACAGGAACAGCCAGGGCAAAGGCTGGAATGAGCTCGAGACAGAATGAAGGCCTAGGTAGCTGGAAGGTCTAAGCACGAAGGAGAAGGACAGGAGCTGGGGCTAGAAAGGTAGGCAGAGGATCTGGTTTCCTATGAAACCAGAAAGAAGTCACTGAGGATATCTAAGCTTTGATGTGATACATGAGGGGTGGGAGAGAGATGGGTGGGCAGGATATCTGTGTTCGGATAAGGCCACACTCTAAGAGTTCCAGGGTATTCCTGATGTGACAGAAGGTAATGGGTAAGAGTGGCCCACTGAGTTGAAGATGATCCCATTTCAGAGTATAAAACTCTGGAGGTCTGGCAGATCTCCCTGCAACAAGGACAAACAGGATCACAGGAGTCCTTCAATAAGTCCCGCGGTGATGCCCACAGGGACACCCATAGGCAGACCTGCACCGGCCCAGGGGGTGGGCTCTCGGACTTGGTAGATGCCTTCCTTCCCCACCCTCATAAGAAAGCAGTCTCCAGTCTTCTTCTGGCTTCTCTCTGGTTTCCAAGCTGGACTTAAGCCCTACTGCTTGTTCTACCCCTCCTGGGGTGACCCACCTGCTGGAGGCACCCAGGTGGGAGGACTAGAGGGTGCACAAGCTTTGGTGTATGTCAGCTGGCACCCTCCTTTCCCCTGGGAAGCAAGTGCTTCCAATTGGATACCACGGGGAAGAAAGATGTCTTAAGGTTATAGACAGCTAGACTCGCAAGTATTCCTGATACTGGGAGGGGTCTGGTTAAAATAGAAAAAAACTTCGGGCGGCATCACGAGGTCAGGAGATTGAGACCATCATGGCTAACATGGTGAAACCCCGTCCCTACTAAAAATACAAAAAAATTAGCCAGGTGTGGCGGCGGGCTCCTGTAGTCCCAGCCACTCAGGAGGCTGAGGCAGGAGAATAGCGTGAACCTGGGAGGCAGAGTTTGCAGTGAGCTGAGATCACGCCACTGCACTCGAGCCTGGATAACTGAGACTCCGTCTCAAAAAAAAAAAAACAAAAAAAACTTCTAATCATGGCTTTCAGGGACCCCTGCCTCCCTCCCTCCAATGCCCAAGTAACATCTGCCTTCCACTCACTCCTCATTTTAAATGTGGGTTAAATGCTTCATATAAGTCCTAGGACCCTTGTTCAAGTCATTCGTACCTTGCTATCCTGACCTTCATGCCTTCCCATGGCCTGGGAGATACAGATTAGCAATCAGGACCCTCCCTGACCCGGTCACCAGACTATGCTTTTCCCTTGTCACCACTGCATACTGAGCCCTGTCCCCTGCAGCCAACTTGGCTTTCAAGATATCTTGTTGTTGCCTATCTACACCCCTCGCTTTCCCAGGTCAAGGCTTCTGCTGCTGTTTCTTTCTTGTGGGCGCCCCTTCTTCCCTTTGCTGTCCATTAAAAGCCAACCAGTCTTCAAAACCCTGATTTTTTAAGAATTTCCTCTCTACATTAGCCGGAGCAATTTATCTCACACACTCTCCATTCTGTTCTAAATATTTATAGACCAAAGAGCACCCTGCTGAATGCAGCCCCTTGGAGATCAGACACTATGCCTGAGATAATTCCATATTCCATACAAAAACCTAGTATGTAGTAGATGCTTAATGGCCATGTTCGGAATTGAACTGAAATTGATGTGTGCTAATCCAAACTAGAAATGCATTAAAGGAAAAGTTGAGGCTGGCCTGTGCACATGCGGGGCACACCAATCACGCTACAGAACCAACCAGCCTTGCAGCAACCTCACACGGAGATCCCATCCGGATTGTCTCCTTAGGCCCCGGGTAAACCCAGTCTTGGCCAGGCCCCTCTCAGTCAGCACATGAGCTCCTCAAATCATGTACCTCCCAGGAAGTTACCATGGCTCATTGGGTTAAACAGATAAACAGGAAACCTGGCTACAGAAAGAAAAATGGATGATAGTCTCACTCCTGCCAGGGGTTTGTTACAGAGATTTCAAGGGTATTGAGTTATAACTGAGGCTTTTCTGATGGAGAGAGTATGTTTATACTTGCCCTCTAACAGAGAGATGTGAGGACTTCCTCCACTCTACTCGACAGACACACTTAACTTGTCTCTGGGCCTACACAGCCTTGGATGCTGGGATGCATCTTCTTTTTTTGGAAACGTTCTATGGCATTAGGGGAGTAGGCACTATATCCTACCCATCTCCCCCAACCTCCCTCTCTCTGTCTCTCTCATGTATATGAGACATATTTCAGCTAAATCAAACGGGACCAATAATACGAAAGATTTTCCCACTAGATCACCCACATTCAAACTTCTAGAGTTCTTTCTATTGGAAGGACCAGTTTGGGAATTTTCTTGCAAGAAATGCAACTGTCTTTACTATTCTCTGTTGCTTATCTTTCTAAATAATTTGAATCCTCTCTGAAGGCAGAATGCATATGTATATTCTCTCTTTCACCACGGAGTTCATGATAGTATTAGTCTCAGGGTATATGCTCAATACTTAGGACTGGAGTAGAGTGGGTGCATGTACCCAATATATGGTAAGGCAATGCGGTGGAGTGGGATGGGGATGCAATTAAGTGAGAACCCATGGGAGGTAGAGAAAGGCTACAGCATCACATCTCTCCTTCCAGCACTTTCAGGCAGCACACCCTGCACTGGTAGATTCCATTCCACGCAGCTGCCCCGCGGGTCCTGCCATTCTTCAGCCCACCTGCTCAAAGGCAAGTAGACTACCTAGAGCATTAAGGAGAAGAAATGGTGACATGCCACAGACGTGGGGACATACAGGCTTGGGAAGAGACTCAATTAGGGATTCCACTTCTCTCTCATAAAGTGTCAGGGCCACAAGGCCCCAGGTCCCTAGTCCAAGGCAATCACTGTAGGAGAGTAAGGAGCAGGCTTGTGTTCCATGCAGCCACGTTACTGCTGTGGCCTTACTGCTATGGCCAGCCCTTGCAAGTGGGTACTCAGGCAACTGCAAGTGCCTCCTGGCCCTCCTAGACATGGCCCTCAGCCCCTCACCCACGATATCCACACTAATGAGAGTCCCTGCCTGATATCCCATCCATGGTGGTACCTGGTATCAGGAGGCCTTGAAGATTTTAATGGTCAGAACAGAGGGGCTTGCTGAGCTTGGAAGTGAAAGAAGAGGGGAGGAGAGCTGAGTGGCAGTGGGGTTGCTTTGAGAGGAGCAGGAATTATGGTGGGAACAGATCATGGGAGCAAGCACGACACACCGCCCATCATCGGCTCACCAGCATCGAGACTCGGGGGCTAGTCCTCAGAAGAGCTATGAGGGAAGGCTGATTTATTTGCATTATTTAAAGATCATCTGTCCAGAACACGGCTCTAGAAGAACCTACCCTTTCCCTTAGCTCACGCCTCCGCAACTCCCCAGTTTCACACACAGTGCACGGGCTTGTGCCACAGAGGTTTAGTGGTTCTTTCCTCTTTCACAGACATCAAAGACAACCAGCACCTGACACCCTGCCTCTCCTTGGGCCCTCAGGCGGCTCCCAGGGCATTCTGACACATCCCTGATTCTCTGGCTTTATGATTTCAAGATGACCTCTCGCCTCTTGTCTTCTTGCATCTTCTGCCACCTCTTCCCCGAGAGGAGGGCACTGGGACATCTGCCCAAACATCAGGCTCAATGCCCTCCAGCTCAAGGGAAGAGGGGGCACTTGGACTTTTGGCCTCAGTGCAGGTCAACTATGGCCCAGCCCATGGAGCCAAGCTACACAGGCAGCCACTGTGAGACCCAGCCAGTGACAGCAAACATACATGGTTATCTCACTCAAGAGAGTCCATTTCCAAGGTCAAAACAAAGCAAAAGCCCACAGAAATATGTGAGAAGTATGTGAGAGAACTCACTTCTTCCTCTTCTATGCCAGTCAGGTCCCAAAAGTAGCCCAGTCGCATCTGCAGCCTCTTCCAGTTTTCCAGGAACATGGTAGCTTAAAAAGAACAACAACAACAACAAAAACTCAATTATTTTTGAAGAGTGGATTCTGTACCCTTTGGGCTCACCAGTGGAGGTGGGGGATAAACTAATAGATTTTAAATTTAGGAGCTCTCTGGAATGCATTTAGCCTCTTTTTCCCACTTCTAGTTGAAACTGCTAGAAATACTCCACATCCTTGAGAGTCAACACACACACACACACACACGCTCCTTTCTCCACTTCTGAGAAGAGGGTAACACTGATCTGGAGAAGTAAAGGATGGCAGGATGAAGAAAATAAAAAGAGAGGGGTCTGCAGGATTTTTTGACAAGTCTCATCTTGCCTATACAATACATTCTTTCTTCCTTCACCTTCCTCAGCACTCTCGCTTTTCCCCTACATTTCTGTCTTTCTGTCCCCAGCACCACTTGCCTCATTTGGGCCCTAATCATATCATTCTGCGGTTACATAACAGTCTCCTAACAGTTCTGCCTGACTCCAGACTTTCAGCCTTCCAACCCATCCTGCATGTAACTGATAGAACAATCTCTGTAAAGTGGTATGCATTCATTCTTCCATTTGCTTAGCGAATAGTTGTAGAATGTCTGCCACACCTACACATCCATCAGTTTGCCTGCCCCACCCACGGCCCTTTGAAGGACCAGCATGCCTTTCTCAGCATGCTCTAGGAAGAACCTGATCCCCCCACCAGCCCAACCCTATAGCTACAGTTTGTTATACCAGAGCTGAACACCTGATCCAGGGCCTGCTGATAGAGCAGGCAGATTCCCTCTTTTGAAAACTGAAACTAAAAGACACAAAGAGGAGCAGGGAAGGGAGAGACCGCGCAGCACCTGAAAGGAGGGAAGGCCTTAGTTTCCGACAGCATCTCCAGCTCCAGTTCCCAAGAGGCCCGGCTATATTTCATTTCCTACACCCAGGAGCTTGCCTCTTGTTTTCTTAAAATAAATCTCTTGTTATCTGAGGAAGTTTGAGTGAATTTCTAATCCTGCAAAAGCACCAGTCCCAACTAAGGTATCTGCAATGCACAAAACACCATTCTAGGCATTGTCGGGGAGATCGGGTGAACTTCATGTGGATTTTGCTTCTCAAGTTGTTTACAGTCTGTGAGAAGAGACTGTAAACAACTACAATACAAGGCATAAAGTCATCGAGGCCCTAAGAATGACACAGATGAAAACGCTGTGGGCTTGCGAAGAGAAGTGCTACCTGTCAGAGGAGGCATCCAAGCTGATTTTTGAAGGACAATGGCATATGGGCACGGAAGGAGTGGGCAGAGGAAGGGTGCCAACACTACCGGCCTACATGTTCAATGGCTCCTTACAGTCTAAGTTCTTCTCTCTGGATTCCAGGACTATGTATGTCGAGGCTGAACCATCTATCTGAATCTCATCCTGCCATTTGTCAACATACATCTTGCAGCTGGGTCATCCCCTCACCATCTTCTCCATACTCGATTTGCGCCCATTGTCCCTCTCTCCTGTGCTATCCTCCAGCTTCTACCCTCATCCTATCCTGACCCAGCTCAAGTCCTCCTCTTCCATAAGATCAGTCCCCACCGCACCCTGTCCTCCTCACTCCTACTGCCCTATGTTCATGGCACCCTGGAGAGGGAGGGGACATGACATTCCCTGAGGCCACCCCTACAGATCCACCCCACCCCTAGCAGGAGCCTGAGCACACTTCACTACATGCCACGCCTGACTACTGGCCGGCACTTCATGTCTGTGATGTAATAACAGGACTGTAAACTCTTCCTGGCTCTTAGCTGCCTATGTCTACCTCGGTCACAGCTCAGAACTGAGAATATCAAACACTGATGCACTGGTTGAATACACAGTTACTTAAAGCTGCATTTGTTTTACTTGCATTTGGTGCATTTGTTTTACTTGCATTTACTACATTATGGTGCATTGATTTGCATGTTTTCATCTGACATGACATTTTGCATGCACTGATTCGCAAGTTTTTCTCCCTTGGATTTGAGGCCTTTCTCGAGTGAGTGTATTCTGACCTCCCAACACTGGCTTTGGCCCGGAGATACTAAGAATGGTAGCAAGTCCCTCCTCTTCCTAGTGCTCCTGCCTTGGTTCCTGAGGAGGGCTGTGCACACAGCAGTGCCCAGAGTGCTGACCGACTGGCGCCTCCATGAAGGGAGGAAGTCAGACGGCAGGACAGATGAGAGGGGCAAAAGAGTCATGGATAGATGAGTCGTGAGGGCAAGGGAGGACCATCAAACTGATGGAGAGTGGCTCCCAGTTCTATGCCAGGCGCTATGCTACATGCTTTGCATGCATACCTCATCCACCTCTCACAAGAACACCATGGGGTAGCTATTATTTCACTCAACTTACAGATGAGGACAACGATGCCCAAAGATTAAGTAATCTGCCCAAGGTAACAGGGCACCTTGGTCAAGGGTATTGACTTTAGTGTCACAGAACTAGGTTCACATTTACCTGCTGTGGGATCCCTAGCTGGTAAGGAGCAGAACTGAGACACACATTAGGTCTGCCTAGGTCAGTGTCCTTAACCTCTATTCAGAAAATAGTTCTGAAACGCTGTCTCTTTCCTTCCGTTTTCAGCAGGACCTCACTCCCTTTCCCAATGTTCCCTAGAGTTTGAAGTCAGAGTCACAAGGGAGCTGGGTCTGAAGACTCCAACAGACTCGGGTCCTGCTGACTGGTATCCCCCAAGACCTCCTGACTCCACATCGCCCCTTCCACTGCCACCAGCAGCCCAAGTCTCTCTCTACATACAGCCATTTCTTCCCAGCCTTATACCCGGCAGGCCTGGGCCCTGGCCCAGGCCCACCCAGCACAGCACCACTAATCATAATAATCAGGGTAATGAGCGGCATTACTATTATTTTTCATTGTAATTTGTAGACAATCTTGCCTAAGGGCTCTTGGCTGCTGTAACTGAATACACAATCACATAAAGCACAGCAAGGCTGTCAAAAAACAAAACCAAATCCTACCCTATGCCAGGAAGCTCTGGCGCGATCCCACCTCTGGGTACTTTCCCTGCACTGTCATGTGAGAGGAAGACAGTAGGTCCAGGGATGGGGTAGGAAGACTGAGGATCTCAGAAGGGGCGGGAGATAGCTGTTCATTACAGCTATCGAGGGAAGAGAAGAGGCAGTTGTTGAAACTTGAAACTAGGAAGTACGATTGAAAACCAAGTTTCTCTACAACAGGGGATTATGTGTCCCAAGAAAGTTCTTGAAGGATTATAGACCTGGAGTTATTAGGCTTCAGCTACTCAATGGTGGTAATATCAGCAAGACAAATTATGGGAATTAGAGTTGTAATATTTCAAAAAATGAATACGTATTCTGGGTTCCAAATCAGTTCAGGTGGGTCTTGGAGTAATTCCATGATACTCCTGTTTGATAAGGAGACACAGAGCTGCCAGTGACTTCCCAGGCAGCAAGCCCCAACTTCAGTGTGTTCTACTGACCCTGCCTGTGAACAGTCCCAGGACTCTATGGTCACAATTCCATTTCCTCCTGCTCCAACTCTCGATGGGCTGACACTGCCCGTGTGCTCCCGGGATGCAGCTGCTCTCCCTGATAATAGAGAATAGAGTGTGCCCTGGAAATTTTTCTTGGTGGCCTAGCAATACAGGAATCTTTCCAGTCAAGTTCTGTCTCCACCCAAGTGAAGGTCCACCGGGAATGGAGGAAGGTTGTGTTCTAGTTCTCCTAAGAACCACCGAGAATAGACCTCTCCCTCTCCTCCTTCTCCTCATACTCTCAGGGATGTGTGACTCAGGGCCCATCCTGGCATATCCTCCGGGCCCCATGGAGTCAGTGATAAACCAAGCAGCCTCTGCAGCAGGACTGTGGTCCTGCTGGTCTGTGACCAACGTGCACTGCGACCAATGTTGCACTGTGGTCCAACGTGCAAACCAAGGGCCTGCACATTCGGTGATGAGTAACGGAGCAGGTGGCTACTCAGATGAGCTGACACATGTTGACTTGGTCCTTTTTCTAATACTCATGGGTGTGTCTTCTTAGAAATGCTCAGTTACCATGGGGTGGTTATTCCATGTTGTTCCAGTTTGTGAGAACAGGAGTGTGTGTGTGTTTACAGTCAGATAGCTATGGCTCATAACAAGTTTATTACCCCCATATTCTGGGAGGAAGGGAGGAGGAGAAAAATGAAGGAATTATCTTTTCCTCCACAAATCCCTTTGGTGGGAATACTGAAAGCATTACTCTGGCGGTAAATATTAAATTAAACAGTGCAGGGACAGTACAGTCTACACTCACGATGTCCTAACAATAGCACTGAACTGGAGTCAGGAGACCAAACCTCAGCCCACGTTTACCATGAGCTAACTCTGTGACCGCGGCAGTCACTCCACCATTCTAAGTATTGTGCTGCATGATATCTATACTCTCACCTAAGTCAGTGTACCTGGAGGAGTCTTACGGGTGTGCTAGGGGTTTTCGAAACAGGCATTGGTTCAAATTCTGAATAAATCACACATGGGACTAGTACAAGGTTAGCATGACTACATCTGAGAGAAAACAGATAAAGACATGAAGGATATTCCTATTTCTATTCACACATATGAGTAGCAAAGTGAAAGGTATTATCCTTAAAATACTTCTTGGGATGGGAAGAAAAAATGTGAAAGGAAGTAACCTGAAGGGGATGAGCTTTTGAGCTTGGTCACTCTACCCATTTAAAGGAACCGCCCATATAAGCAAGCCTGGTGATGGCCACATACCCCACAGAGCCATGAAGATGGAGAAGAAGACGGTGGCAGGGTTGTCAAACAGGTGGCTGGCCCGCGCGGTCCCACAGGCTGAGCTGAGGTTCCAGTAATCACAGGACTTGTCACACAGGGGACACATGATGAAGGCATTCTGCTGGTCACACATCTCTCTGCTGCAATAGATGGAGGTTGTTGGGTCAGGTGGAGCTCAAGCATGGTCCGCTCCAAGAAAAAACCATCCCCCAAATAGCTTCCATTTCCAAATCTAAGGTTGAGTTTTTCAACTCCATAAGTAAGGAATGTTAAAGAAGTTAGCATTGGATCATTAGATTCTTCACCTGGAGAGTGTTACTCATATTTGGTTCAAAAACAACAACAGAAAGACGGGGTATAGAGCTCCCTGTCACTACAAGTGTCCTGGAAAGTTACTGAGATCTGTCAGAGATACTGGGCATTAAATTATGCCTCCTAAAGTCCCTTCAGAACGTGTTGGGTCCATGAGGTTGGTGGGATGGGATGCATCAACAGTTGTGAATAAATCACAGCCTAAAGATGGATTTCATCATCCATTCTTCAGTCTAGGCTGTTTTTGTAAAGCCTACTGGCTGTCTCACAAACAAGTGATACTGGTCCCAAGTAGAAACAAACATGAGTGTGTGGCTAGACCTGTGCATGCTCTCACCTCTAGAAGAAGAAGTTCTACACAGGGAAGAATGGAGTAGATCTGGGTGGAAAGCCCTTTTCTAAGAGCATGAGCTGGAGAGGCACTTGTAGAATGGAGATTAATAGCCTCAACCTAATGAGAATTATTATACCCATGAAATAAGATTAGGGACAATGAAAGAGTAAGGCAAATTCTTCCAAGGTCTAGATTCTTTGATACTTGGAGCATGAACCAAATAATCTCTAATGGCCTGTATTCCAACCTATTCTTAGTGTATTTCCATTTAATGGACTGAGGAATATATTTGAAATTCCATTCACTCATTAGCTGACTAGCTGTATCCAACAGATTTAGGCTCATATGAATGCTTGGAAATAAGAACCAAAGAATCAGCCCTGACTGGCTTTCCCAATAACCCTCTACACCATACACTGATAGGAAAATGAATGAACTCATCCCTCTGTTGTGCAATATTTTCCCAGGGAGATGGGAGGATGGTTAAGCTCATGGTTCAGGGGGAAAGGGTGGAGAACTTAAGATTTCACGAAAGCAAAGCATTGGCTGTTCTTACAGGGCAACTGGAGACAATGATGGGGAGGCAGGGGATCCAGCACTGAGAACAACAGCTGTTTTCCACACAAAGCAGCAGCAGAGGGCGCTACAGAGCACGACTCACAAGTGGGAGCCACGGCTAGGGTGAGCAAGCTGGTGCCCTGTGTGCTAAAGCCAGTGCTCAGAGGAAACCTGCAAAGCCAAAGGAATGCCTGGGTCTATTTCCTCCTTCATTAAGAAGTTGAAGGGTGGCAGATTTACTGAGGGGCTGTCACTTTCTGTCAAGCCCCAGTCCCTAGGCTTCTGTTTTTAATGAGCTACTAAGTCCACAGGAGGGAAAGGCCTTCTGTGTGAGAGAATGGAAATTCTCGGTCTCTAAGGATAAACTCCAGTTCCTCTGCTGACTCGCTGCTAAGCTCTCCCTTGGCAAAGTTCAATAAAAATGACTCATCCACATCGAAAATATTAAATAGTAATATCTTAATAATACATTCAGCTGTGCTAGTTTCACCTGGGCATGTTCTGCTTGGTGACTAGAGAGCCCCGTTTATGTCTTCTGGGTCGAGCTGTGTTTGCTATGTAGTTGAGAAGGAATTGTTGCTTTCAGAGAGGAAAGTACTCCCTTAAAAAACAGATTTACACAGAAAATCACTTGTCTGTATAAATTCTAGTAAAAGACTTTCACTTTTAAGTCACATCCAAGAACATATGAGTTCCTCAATGCTGCTCTTGGAGTATGTGTGTTAGGGACTTCATTTAACTCAGCGGTTTTTTTTCTTTTAAGCATGGACTGAGGAGACAGAAACCTCGTCAACTGAAACTAGTCAATGCTAAAAGGTCAGGAATGAAAAACGTATTAGCAGCCAAGCGGGTGCAAAGCACTTTGAAACTTAAGTGCTGTGTAAATTACTGGTTTTTAAATTAGAGTGCAGGCAACTATCCATCATTTGTACAAGATGGCAGCCACCATGGTATGGATTCTCCTCAAATCATTTAAATGCAAAGTCAGAATGCTTTCTGTATGTATTGGAGGGTTTTTGATGTAATCAATTTTAACAGAATTCTAGAGGAATTCTGGCTAAGAATGACATCGAAACGACTTTGTGTTTTCTGAGACAGGCTGCCTCTAGACAAGCTGAAAGATGAGGAAGCCTGCCTACAATGGAAATCAGGTCTAGCGTACTCACTAAGCTGCACAATCCACAGGTTTCTAGTGAGAAGTAACTGTGGCTATAAATCCAATGCTGTATTCCTTTAATTTATTATTTTCTCTAGAAAGCATAAGAAGCTTGATAAACGGCTTGACAGTCCATTGAACCAAGACCCTAAAGTGAGCAACATTCTTCAGGGTAAATCACTGCTCCTGGATTAGGCGATTCAGAGCCCCGTTAGCGCAACGGGAGAAGGTACAAAGAGGCAATCATTCAGGAAATTCAGACTAAACAGCTGCTATTAAGGTCTCAGACCTAAAGTAACCAATCTTTTTTCAATATGGTTTAGATTAATCAGCTTTTTAAAAAATGTCCTAGTGTTCTCTGTTCATGTAAGTGCTGAACAAATGAAATCAATCCCTTGGTGAGTAGAGACAGGGAAGTTCTATAGAGGGATCATGCATGCACGGAAGTATTACTGACAAGCTTATGCTTATATCTCACATATCAAAGTTAAATTACTGGGAATAAAAGGTATCATTTAAAGTTCCACCTAATCCATGTCAGTTTTCTGGTTTTGAGGTTGTGCCGTAGTTACATAAGATGAAACCATGGGAGGAAACTAGATGAAGGGCATGCTGGGCCCCTCTGTACTATCTTTGCAAGTTCCTGTGCTGTGAATCTAAAATTTTTCAAAATAAAAAGGTTTTAAAAAGTGAGCGATAGTAAATTTCAGGCTTGATGACGAAATTAGCAACCTCTAAAATAATCCCAGGAATACTGTAAGTTTTTCATCACAGTTATGCGTGGCTGATAGACACAAACCCTTACAGTATGTGTTTATTTAGATTCAATATTGGTTTTCAGAGAATATCCCTTTGTTTATAAGGAGTGGCATTTTGTGAGCTTCTATCAGACCCACAGAAGTTGGACTTCTGATGAATTTACAATTGTGTATAGAAAACAGTTCGTCTGTTTTTAAAGAAATCTATTAAAATGTTTACTTTTTTCTAGTATTTACACCTTCCTGATTTGCCAGGCCCCATCCTGAGTCTAAAGAAACAACATCCAAAACTTCAATTTTGTAGTAATTTTAATCTTTTTTTGACTATGACCTACAGTTAAAATGATTTGTTACATCAGATTTCAGTATGCAAATACATACCCTCACTCTCACAAACACACTTACAAAACTGAAATAAAATCTCATGAAGCAACACTTACCCATCCTTCTTATAATGAATACTAGTATTCATTGTGTTCTAGCCTATCTTACTCCATCTTATTTTAGTCCACTTAAAGGCCATTAAATTGATTCCACAACCCACCAGTGGTGGTTGTCATATCCACAGTTGTAAAACACCGTCCATTCTGACAGGCAATGTGACACATCCACAGTAACGACTGCACTTTACACTTGAATATCCCTGCACGTGCATGAGTATGTGTGAATGTGGGTGTGTGTGTCTGTGTGTAGACATATGTGCACGTGCATGAGTGTGTGTGAATGTGTGGGGTGTGTTTCTGCGTGCAGACATCTATCAGCACATGCATGAGTGTGAACGTGGGTATGTGTCTGTGTGTAGACATCTATGTGCACGTGCATGAGTGTGTGTGAAAGTGGGTGTGTGTATCTGTGTGTAGACATCTATCAGCACATTCATGAGTGTGTGAATGTGGGTGTGTGCATCTGTGTGCAGACATCCATCTGCACATGCATGAGTGTGTGTGAATGTGGGTATCTGTGTCTGTGTGTAGACATCTATCTGCATGTACATGAGTGTGTGTGAATGTGGGTGTGTGTGTGTCTGTGTGTAGACATTTATGTGCACGTGCATGAGTGTGTGTGAATGTGGGTGTGTGTGTCTGTGTGTAGACATCTATCAGCACATTCATGTGTGTGTGAATGTGGGTGTGTGCATCTGTGTGCAGACATGAATCTGCACATGCATGAGTGTGTGTGAATGTGGGTGTGTGTGTCTGTGTGTAGACATCTACGTGCACGTGCATAAGTGTGTGTGAATGTGGGGTGTGTGTGTCTGTGTGTAGATGTCTATCATTGCAGCATGTGCAGACCATGTCCTTTCCAGCTGTAGTTGCTGCTGCCACGTGTATTACCCAGGGCACAAGTTCTAAATCCTGATATAAACCAGCCCACTGGTGCCCCACCCACTGAACTGGAACCGGTTCCCTAGGCACGGTATGGGGTTTTCCACCCTTGGCCAACCTGAGGCCAGATGTCTAGGGATCACAACTGGCAAGAGAAACCCAAAAGCCATGTTTTCTTAGAACACACCCAGGCAAGCCCACGTGAAGCTACTGAGTTGTGGAGGAGGATATGAGCTCTCTGGAAAACTTCTCTGCTTATTAGAAAAAGCAAAGACTTTGGAACAGGAGGCAACAGAGTTCAACTCCCAGCCCTGACAACTATCAGTTGTTGATATTGGACAATTTATGTGACCTCATGTAGCATCAGTTTCTCAATCACTGTTCAGTGGAAATTATAATGCCTATTTATGGCATATATAACATTGATCTCTTACAGGATCAAAGAAACTAGTTTATAACAATCACCTAGCATTATGCCCAGCACAAGGTAGGTATTTCATAAGTATTAGCTCTTCCCTCTAGATGCGCTGGGGAAAGCAGAGCCCTAATAACCCATCTCCTGTGATAAAGGTCCCAGAACTCCCAATCAAGAACACTTGCCCTCTGCCTCCCTCCCTCTCCCCCTTCCTTTCTTCCTTATCCCTGCAAAAAAAAAAAAAAAAAAAAAAAAACTTGACAATTGATACTAGAGTTTTATACCAAAAAAATCCAAACTCTTGTCTCTAGATATTGACAATATAATCTTCAGTTGATCTGATTTGCAAGACCATTTGCACAGATTGACATAGATTTAGTTTTATTCTAGATATTGACAACATCATCTCCAGGTGATCTAATTTGGAAGACCATTTCTATAGGGTATGCACCAACAGGCAGGAAGCAGGTGAGCCATAAAGCAGGTTTCTGCCCACTGATGCACACATACCCTTCCTAAAATGCACATTTTTTACTTTTTCTTCAGAATGGCCATTACTTTCCCCATTACCACCCCCAACTCTAATGATCCGCCCAGTGTCCTCATCCACCTGGCTATGGAGGGAACATCAAGTTCGTACAAAGCTATCCTACCCCCGAGCCACAGTGAATTGGTCCAGGGCCTCCACCTAAGTCAAACGGAGTCACAGTACTTTTTCACTTGAGATGAAACGAGTATAAAGTTCTAAGGTGTAACACCCATGAGCTACTAGCAGCAACGTTTAATCCAAATGGAGGAAATACGCGGTGAAACCAACAAATGCTAGAAAGAGTCAGAGGCAGGAGATAAATGGAGTACCTATTCTAGTGTTCCTTGAATGCTTATAATAAATTTTCTTTTTCGCTTAATCTAGTTCAAGCTGCATTTCTATCACTTACATCCCAAAGAAAACTAAAACATATTAACCATGCTTCAGTTTGCAAAGACAATTCTGAAGATGGCAAGAGGTTTAAATTCTAAATATTAGCTAAGTGTATCTTTTGTCCCTTGTACTCTACTTCCACACATTTTGATGTATTCAACAATTATTTATTAATCTTCTGCTATGTGCCAGACACAGTCTCCTTTAATCCTCACAGCATCATGATTTAGGTGTTGTGATTACCATTTTACAGCCAAGAATACTAAGCTTCAGGGAGTCAACTGTCCAGTCACACAGCTAATATATAACATTGTCAATCTAAGTGCTTCTTTCCTTTTCTTTTCTTTTTTTTTTTTTTTTTTTTTTGGAGGGGTCTTGCTCTTTTGCCCAGGCTAGAGTGCAGTGGCACAATCAGTCACAGCTCACTGCAAGCTCAAGCTCCTGGGTTCAAGCAGCTCTCCTGCCTCAGCCTCCCAATTAGCTGGGACTACAGGTGCATGCCACCAAATCAAGCCCAGCTAATTTTTTTTTTAGAGGTAGGGTCTCAACTCACTGTGTTGCCCAGGCTGGTCTCAAATTCCTGGGCTCCAACAGTACTCCCTCCTTGGTCTCCCAAAGCAGTGAGACTACAGGTGTGAGCCACGATACCCATCCCATATTTCCTTTGTGGGTTCTCTCTTCCTCATAAAAACTAGCTTTGATTCTATCTCTTGGCGCTTCAAGAGTCCCACCTTGGGCTATTCCTCCCCGCAGTTTCTGACTTCCTGAAACAGAGACTGTGCCTTCCTCAGCATTAGAGCTGCCTGCTTTCTCAGCTTGCTTTATTCTAGCAGTGTCTGACCACACGGATGTAATTTCTACCCAGTGTCACTCCCCACACCTTGCCTTGGGTCTTATGGGAAACCAGAGGGGAAAAAAAGTGATGAAGTGGAGAGAGAGGAAAAAAGTATTTCTCTGACATAATTCTTCTTACCAGGAATTATCCCTCTGCCCACACCAGACACATATCCCTGCCCTAGAGAAGAGCTTGACTAGAAGAGGAAGTGGGCCTCGCCTAGCATGGCTCTGAAGCCATTCCCAGAATCTGTAGCTCCTAGATCTGTCTCTGGAGGAAAGCTACATGTGTCACAGCAAAGGAGAATGATAGAGGGCGAGGGCTTTGGAAAGAGGCATGTGAAATGTACTTGTACTGGGATGAAACTCCAAATTATTAACATATGGCAACTGAGCCTTTTTCTTTAAAACTGATTTACCTGGGAATATCTTCTTCAATTGTTGCACATCCATAAAGAAACACAATCACTCCAATTACAGAAGATGGAATGAGGAATGATGTATATAACCCCAGCCAGGCAAAATACAGTCCAATTTTTTCTCCAAAATACTTTCTGGAAAAGAAAGAAAGAAAGAAAAGAAAATGAAACACATATTAAGAACATCATATACTTTCCTTATTTCTGTTTGTTCTATGTGTCAGGATGGGGCAACATAGATATTCATTCCTCTTGTAATGAAAACAAAGGGATGGAGGTTGCACAGGGAAGGGGAGGCCTCAGCACAAGGAATCAACGACGGAACTTTTCTGGAATGAAGTGCATTCCATTGGAATCACATACACACACCTGTCTTGGCTGTTCATGTGAAATAGACAGCCGCGAGAAAGAATCCAGCCCCAACAGCAAACTAAAAATATGCCATACATTTTGGCACCTTTACCAAACATGAATAACGCATCATCATTTCATAAGTGCCATAGCACTCAACCCATAAGAAAACACACCTTTTTGAAACTAGCTTATTTAAACGAAACACACAGATCATATATTTGGGCATGTATATTTGCGTATGCAAACCAACATAGACACACTTATTGAAAAACAACTAGAAGAAATCCAATAAAATATTAGTAATGGTTTCTTTGGATGATGGGCTTATGGGTGGTTTTTATTTCTTTATTTTTAAGCCACTTTACTGAGGTATGTTGGCATACAAAGAGCTGTATGTATTGAACATGTACAACTTGATGAGTTTGCAGATAAGTATCCACCCATGAGAACATCACCAATCACTCCATAAAGTTGTCCAGTACCTCCAAGTTTCCTTTTGTTCTCACCCTTGTTTTGTTTAATTAAAAAAATATTTTCTCTTGTGTTAAGAGCAATTAATGTGAGATCTATCCTCTTAGCAGATTTTAAGTATACAATACAGTATTGTTAACTATAGGCTCTATATTATACAGTAGATCTCCGAGCATATATGCATTGCATAACTGAAATTTTGTCCCTTTTGACCAACATCTCCTCCTCCTCCCCTCTCTGCAACCCCTGTTAACCACTATTCTACTCTTTGGATCCATGAGTTTGACAGTTTTAGATTCGTCGTACAGGTGGGATCACGCAGTATTTGTCCTTCTGTGCCTGGCTTATTTCACTTAGCATAACGTCCTCCAGGTCCATCCATGTTGCAGCAAACGGCAGGATTTCCTTATTTTTAAGGCTGAATAATATCCATTGGGTGTCCACATTTTCTTTATCCATGCATCTGTCAGTGGACACTTGGGTTGCTTATACCTTTTGGCAATTGCGAATAATGCTGCTATGAATATAGGAGTGCAGATATCTCCTCAGGATGTTGACTCTGATTCCTTAATATATACATCCAAAAGGGGGATTGTTGATTCAAATGGTAATTATATTTTTAATTTTTTGAGGAACCTCCATACTGTTTTCCACCGTGGCTGCGTTGCCACCAACAGTGAACAAGGGTTCCCTTTTCTCCACATCTGCACCAACACATTTTATCTTTTGTTGTTGGACAATAGCATTTTAATAAGTGTGCAGTGATATCTCACTGTGGTTTTGATTTGCATTTCCCTGATGAATCGTGACATTAAACACTTTCTCCTATACCTGTTGGTCATTTGTATGTCTTCTTTGGTGTAATGTCTACTTACGTCCTTTACTAAATTTTTTATCAGCCTATTTGGTTTTTTATGTGTTTCTTTGTTTTGCTATTGAATTGTAGAAGTTCCTTATATATTTTGGATATTAATCACTTACCAGATATATGGTTTGCAAATATTTCCTCCCATTCTGCATATTGACTTTCACTCTGTTGATTGTTTCCTTTGCTGTGTAGAAGCATTTTAGTTTGATATATTCCCATGTGTCTATTTTTGCTTTTGCCGTTTGTGCTTTCTGTGCCATATCTAAGAAATAATTGCTAAGTTCAATGTGTAGAAGCTTTTTTCCCTGTTTTAAGAGTTCTGTTGTTTCAGGTTTTACATTTAAGTCTTTAATCCATTTTAAGTTGGGTTTTTGTATGCTATAAAATAAGGGTCCAACTTCATTCTTACGCATGTGGATATCCAGTTTTCCCAATATCATTTATTGAAAAGTAAGTAGTATTAACAGTTTAACAATACTGATTCTTCAGATCTATGAACACAAGGTATACTTTGTAAACCAAAACTTATTCTGAGACAGGTCTCAATCAATTTAGAAGTTTATTTTGCTAAGGTTAAGGACATGCCTGGAAGAAAAAAACACGCAGTCGCAGAAACAGTCTGTGGTCTGTGCCTTTCTCCAAAGGTGAATTTAAGGGTTTCAGTATTTATCAGTGCCTTTCTTCAAAGATGAATTTAAGGGCTTCAACATTTAAAAGGGAAATATTGGGCTAGTGGGCTGGAGGGGAAAGAGGGAGTATATGGTAGGGTCACCCACATGCTGCAGGAGAAAATGAGCAGGTACGAAAAGAGTCAATTAAGTATTCATCTTGTGCTCCGCAAACTGACACTTAATATAAGGTGAACATAGAGCAGCTGCCTGTGGAGATACTTAGCCTTTTATCCATATCTGTCTGCTTAGGAACAAAAGGGAAGGCAGCTTCTTGCATCATTCAGCTTTTGGCTTAATTTTTTCATTTTGGCAGAGTGAGTTGGGGTCCCAAGTTTTTATTTTCCTTTCACACCTTCCTTTTATTTATGTCATCTTTATTTCCTTTTATCAATGTTTTATAGTTTTCAATGTGCAAATCTTTCACCCTCTTGGTTAAACTTATTCCTAGGTATTTTATTCTTTTTGATGCTATTGTGAATGGGACTGTTTTCTTAATTTTCTTTTTAGATAGGTTGTTAGTGTACAGAAATGCAAATGATTTTTGTATGTTTATTTAGTATCCGGCAACTTTACTGAATGTATTATTTCTAGAACTTTTTTTGGTAGAGTCTTTAGGGTCTTCTGCATATGAGATCATGTCATCTGGAAACTAAGGTAATTTTACTTCTTCCCTTCCAATTTGATGGCTTTTATTTCTTTTTCTTGCCTAATTGCTCTTGCTAGAAATACTATGTTGAATGTGAGAGGTAAAGAAAAAAAACTTTTTTTTACTATTGAATATGATGTTAGCTGTGAGATTTTCATGAATGGCTTTTATTTTGTTGATGTTAGTTCCTTCTATTCCTAATTCATTGACAGTTACGTTCCTTCTATTCCTAACTAGTTGAGATTTAAGTTCTATTTTTAATTTGTTGAGAATTTTAAATCGTGAAACAGTATTGATTTTTGTCACTTTTTTTCTCTATCTATTGAGATGTTCATGTGATTTTTATCTTCATTTATTGATTTGTATATGTTGAACCATCCCTGTATCCCAAGAAAAAAACCCTTCTGGGTCATGGTGTATGATCCTTTTAAAGTGCTGTTGAGTTTGATTTACTAGTATTTTGTTGAATGTTTTTGCATCTACATTCATCAGGGGTGTGGACCTATAGTTCTTTTCTTGTAGTGTCTCTATCTGGATTTGGTATCAGGGTGGTGCTGGCCTCAGGAAGAATTTGTAAGTTTCTTCTCTTTTCCTGTTTTTTGGAAGACTTTAAGAAGTATTGGTATTAACTTTTCTTCGAAGGTTTGGAAGGATTCATCCATGAAACTATCTGTTTCTGGGCATTTCTTTGCTGGGAGTTCTGTTTTGTTTCATTTGTTTGTTTGTTTGTTTTCAATTATTGCTTGAATCTACTTATTTGTCATTGGTCTGTACAGGCTTTCTATTTCTCCTTGATTCAACCTTGTTGGATTATATGTTTCTAAGCATTTATCCATTTATTCCAGATTGCCCAATTTGTTGCTGTATAATTGTTCATAATAATTCCTCATAATCCTTTTTATTTCTGTAACATCAGGTGTAAAGTCTCATCTTTCATTTCTGATTTTATTTATTTGCAACTTCTTTCCTTTTCATTAGTTAGTCTAAGAGTTTGTCAACAAACAGCTTCATCAATTTTTTGTTTTTCTGTTTTCATATTCTGTCTTATATTTATTTATTCCCTAATTTATATTACTTCTTCCCTCCTGCTAATTTTGGGATTAGTTTTTTCTTTTTTTTGTAGTTACTTGAGATGTAAAATTAATTATTTGAGGTCTTTCTTAATGTAGCCATTTATCACTATAAACTTCCTTTTAGTATTGCTTTTGCTGTATCTCGTAAGTTTTAATATGTGGTGCTTTCATTTTCATTTATCTTGAGATATTTTCTAATTTCTTTTTTTGATTTATTCTTTGACCTAGATATAGTACTCTTGGTTGGCAGGTTTTTTAAATTTCAGTACTTTGAATATATTATCCCACCCTCTCCTCACCTGCAAGGTTTCTGCTGAGAAGTCCACTAGTAGCCTTATAATGGCTCCCTCGTTTGTGATAAGTCACTTTTTTCTTGTTGCTTTCAAAATTCTCTACTTGACTTTTGAGAATTCAATTTTAAGGTGACTCAGTGTTAACCTCTTTGGGTTCAATGTATTTGGGTACATTGAGACCTCATGAATTTGGATGTTCATTTCTCTTCCTATATTTGTAAAGTTTTTAGCAAGTGTTCCCTTAATAAGCTTTCTTCCTCTTTCTCTTTCTTTCTTCTCCTTCTGAGTCTCCCAGAATGCATATATTGGTTCACTCTATGGTGTCCCATAAGTCCTTAGGCTTTCTTCACTTTTTAACTTTTCTATTTTTTCTGTTCCTCCAATTGGATAATTTCAAGTGACTTGTCTTTAAGTACAATGATTCTTTCTTCTGCTTGACCAAGTATGCTACTGAAGTTCTGTATTAATTTTTTTAGTTCAGTCATTGTATTCTTCAGTTCTAGGATTTCACTTTGGCTCTTTTTTATTATTTCTATGTTTGTTGAACTTCTGATTTTGTTCACGTTATACTCCTAATTTTGTTTAGTTGTCTGTTCTCTTGCAGCTCATTTAAGACAATTATTTTGAGTTCTTTGTCAAGCAGATTATGGATATCAATTTATTTAGGGTAAGTTACTGGAACTTTTTTCAGCTCCTAATAAGGTAGTATCGAGTATTCCTGATTCTTTGTGATCCTTGTAGCCTTAGGCTGGTGTCTGT